TGATTTCTTAGTTTCGAAAGAAGTAATAAACTTCACCAAAATAAGTACAGCAATGAAAACAAATAGTAAAATAAAAACAATACAATGAGGACCTTTCAAGTGTTCACAAAAGCTTCAATTACCCTCTAATTCAAACAATCAACAAGCATCTTCTTTCTTTTTTTTTAGATATTCACCTTGCGCTGATCAATATATTTAATTTCATTGACGCAGTCCTTGGACAATCAGTAGTTTACCTATTTTTTCAGTTTGTCAGTCTAATTGGTGCACTCTATTAAAGTTTCAGTAATTAATTAGCTTTTTATATCTGTACTTACAGTTAAGATTCAGGATTTAAGTTGGCTAAGGTAAGTATTAATCTCTGTTTATGGTTTAGATGTTAGTTTTAGCTTTAAGTTCTAGTTTATGACGTGCTACTTATGGTTTTAGTTCCACTTATTTTGGTTCCCTCAATGCTCAAACCTTAAATAATGAACCCTTGTTCTATTAAAACAAAATTATTAAAACATGAATTAAACAACAAAACAAACAAATGTCAATCAACCAGACAATAGCCAAGATACAAATTCAACCTCTTTCTCAACTGTCCATAAAAATGTTAGAACTATAAGTGGTTCAAAAATGAAATAAAATGTGTCTCCCCTTTTGTTGTCTTATTTTTCAAGCTCAGTTCACTGGGGAAATTGCAATTTTCAGTCCTACCACCCTGTTGAGTGTGGTCACCAAGAGAAAAGTCCGTCTATAGTGCTCGAACTCGAAAGTCTGGCGAGTTGTCCTCTAGACGTGGGCTTGGCTCGCCATCTAGTGTCCAAACGGGTGCATACGCCACATGCAACTGAATGCAGGGGAGAGTTGAAACAAACCAACAAAAAAAACTGACCAAATCCAATCCAGTATAAATCGAAATCGTCGTTTCAGACGTATTTCAGCTCAAAGTTCACCCTTGGCAGTCATTTGAATGACGAAGAGTATTCCAGTCAACAGCTCAGAGTAAGTAGTAGCACCTTAATTGTGCTATTTGATTAACTTTCTAGTAGCTTCCAGTCTCAAATGTCTAGTGGTTCTAGGTATCAGAAATTCTTCAAAATACTTATTTGTCAAGTATATCTTCCAAGTTTTTCTTTGTTATTTTATTTCAGTGTTCTCTTTTCTTCCAACTGCGTTTTCTTCACAGGATGTCTCTTGGGGATAGGCGCAGGTAACACCCACTTAGCGCTGATTGGCCATCTATCGTTCAGACCATGACTTGTCAAAGAACTATTGGCTTTGATTTATGCTCAATTTATTTTCTTTACTCATCTATTTTGACTTTTCTAAACTGTTATTTCTGTGTTATATTGTTTCTTAAATAAATCACTAAATTTATTATTATTCCACTGTGTGTCTGGATTTAATTTCTGGTCATTTAAAACCTGGGTTACACTAAGCTATACCAATATCGCTCCAGCCCTGTGTAACCAAGTGGGGCGATGGAGACACCACACAGGAGTGTCCCACAGCACCACCTAGGGGTTTGGAGAGCACCTGCAAGCCAGTGCAGGGTTCCACAGCCCCACTATCTATGGAGAATGCCAGTGAGACAGTGCAGGGTCACAAGGCTCTGCCCAATGCTACAGAGAGCCCTGCTGTCTGGGCCCCTCTTGTCCCTGCTCTACTGCTGGACTCTGTTCCAGCTCCACAAAGGGTTCCAGGGCCGGCTCCACACAAGTTCTCCAAGCAGCTAACGCCAGCTTTCCGAGCTGCTGCTCCTCCTGTACTGGTTCCCAGTGTGGCTCCTGTGCTGGATCCTCAACTTGATCCAGTGCCAGCTTCCCGTGCTGCTGCTCCCCCAATGCTGGTTCCCTGTGCAGATCTCCATCCTGCTCTGGTGCTGGTTTCTCAAGTTGCTTTTCTTTCTGAGATGGTTTTCTTTACAGCTCCTGTGCTGGCTTTCTGTGCTGATCTAGTCCTGGCTTCTCAAGCTGCTGTTCCTCCTATTGTGGCCCTTTGTGCAGCTCCTGTGCCGGTTCCCCATGAAGTTCTGGTGCCAGCTTCCTAAGCTGCTCTCTGCTGTCCTGTTCTTCTTGGACTGCTCCTCATACACTGACTCTCAGAGCTGCTTCTTCTGTGGCAGGCCAATAGTTGGCTCCACAGCCAGCTTCCCAGTGTCCCTCTTGCTGGTCCTGCCCCTGTCCCCTGTGTTGTCCTGGTTAACAGACTACCCTCTCCTCTGGAATTTCTGCTGGCAATGGCTGTGCCTACTCACAGTCCGGGCCTGCCCTATATATTGTGCTTGGGAAGTGCGCTTCACTCACTTGCACACCTGCGAATGATCCTGGACCCACTCCAGTTAACGATCCTGGACATTAACTGGGGGCAGTCGTGGGCTGGAGGTTAGGGAGCCAGCCTTGTGACTGGAAGGACACCGGTTCGATCCCCTGAGCTGACAGGACATCACTGAAGTGCGCTTAAGCAAAGCACCCAACCCCCAACTGCTCCCTGTGCGCCATGGATAGGGCTGCCCACCACTCCAGGCAAGTGTGTTCCCTGCCCCCTAGTGTGTGTGTGTGCGTTCACCAGTGTGCATGTATGTGGGTGTTTCACTGCATGTGTCATGGTTGCGATTGTGTTTGATAACCTGAGTTCTGAGGCTTTTTACTTTGTGATGGCTTTTCCTGTGTTTTTGACCCCTGCTTGTGTAACTGGATTTTGAATATGAATATGCCTCTTATGTTGTCTGCTTGTGATTTGACCCCTGCCTATGATTAATATACTGCCCCAAATAAAGCCACTTTGTACTTGCAACCAACTTGCATGCATCCTCCGTTGCACTCACTTTATCCAAAGGCCAGGGAAACAATCATTTTCGTTCACTCAGCCTGACATGGCAAGCTAAGTTATATTGTCAGCATTATATCACTGTGTATCCAAAAAAAAGTATATCACTGCGTATCCAAAAATTGTCATGACAACCTATCAGAAAAAATAAATTAATGTCACCTGACATAGATGCTATGTCAACTTCAAATGCAGCCTTTATGATAAACAACACCTACTGGAAAGTGTTAAATGTTTATGTAGGTCTTTGTAAGCTGTCAAAAACTTGTAACCTTAAGAACACATGACCTACAGTAAAATTCTAGTAAATATTTTTATTAGGCTTTACAAAATCTAATGTTGTTTATGAGAAGCAAGTCATAGCTGTAAACATTTTTATTTTATTATCTATTCATAGCCACGGTAGAGTTTTTTAAAAGTCAGTACATGTGTATTTATTTATTTGTTTGTTTGTTTGTTTGTTTTTTTAATGGCGATATACTTCTATCTTACTACTCTTCTATCTTTTACCTTAAATATGTACAGGGCACAAAACAGAGAGTTTTTGGTTTATTTTCTTTTTTTTTCTCCCAGGATAGCGCTATGGTTTCAGCCATGTAAAAACTGGGCAGCGCACGCTGGAGGGCAGGTTGTCAGCTTTTGATGTAATACATTTATTACCACAAATTGCTTCACAGTAAACAATAAATCTAAGCACATCTGAGGTCAGTTTGCTGTTTTATATTGTTACTCATCATCATGGCAATGGGACCTGCATCCAGATCAGCACCTAAAAGAGCTTTTTGAAGACTGTTTGACTTCAACTGGTGCTACTTAAAAACTTGATAATTTGGTCTCCTCAGTCCCTAAATAATTATGTTAATGGTAAAAATGTTGGTAAACAGCAGTGAACATGCTCCTGTCCAAATTCTTTTTATGTATTACAGGCATTACATTTGGTATGAGCAGATAAATAAAACAAAATCAAAAATATCACATATTTGTACTTTTTTCAATTTAGTACAAACAGAATTTCCAGTAACCGCTTTCTGATTTCTTAGAATATTATATACTGTCCAAACACTTTTGGGTCATTCTACAGAAACGTCGATTTTTTGGCCCTAGCATTTACAGATATATTACACTTAAAAAACATGTTAGGGTTACAATTAATTTACATTTTCAAATAAAACTAAGTTATTCTAACAATTACACCATCTTCAGCCATCAATTTAGCAATATTCCAAGCACCACAGAAATGCTCATTCCCACAGTCGTGTGTAAAGGTTGAGGCCATATTTTGAAGAAAAAAAAACACATTTTTCTGCTATTTTTACTACAATAATCTAATGATTATGGAATATATATAAGTTAAATGACATAAAGAAAACAAATGGCAAATAAATATTATAAAACATATAATGTCCCAAGTAGTTGTGTCACTGGTGTTACTGCATAACAAAAAATCTCTTATTTTGAAATAAAAATCACACTGATGACATCACTCGACTTTCTTTTTACCTATTTTCTGAAGATCTATGAAAAAGCACATGGTAAGTCCACTGTGTCTCTTTCAGTTATCAGAATTTTTTTCATTTAGCTCATGATTTCATATGAAGCTTTTAGTTGACGTCACCGGTATGACCTACTTTATTCTTAGGTAATTGTGAAAAAATAGATAAAATAGATAAATTACATATTTTAGTGAATACTGCATGATTGACTGCGTGTAGTTTGATGCTCTGTAGAAGCCATTTTATAAAATGCATTTTTCATTGAAATGTCTCTGGTTTTACCTTTGCCTTCCGCCCAGTGACAGCTGGGATAGGCTCCAGCACCCCACCGCAACCCAGAAGGATAAGTGGTTTAGATAATGGATGGATGGATGGTTTTACCTTTCTTATGTGTAACACCAATGAGGATTGGTAACACCAGTGACTCCTATGGATAGATAGAAAAGTTGACATTTCTGTAGAATGACCCTTTTGGAATACATAATGTACATTAGTAGTAAAATGATAAATAAAAATAAGTGAACATGGAAGTCATTACACATTTTTGTGAATGCAGAAAGTTTATTTTATTTTTTTTTATTTGCTCAACATCATGAATGATTTAGAAGAGAGTTAGAAAAGATTTCAATGTAAAAGTTGAAAGTTGGAAAAGAAATAAATGAAAAAAAAGAAAAAGAAAGTTGGAAAAGAAATAAATGGAAAAAAAGAAAAAGAAATTCAGCAACTGTAGACAGTTTTTAAAGAACTACTGTAAGTCTGGCATGAGTTCATCATGTGTTGATGTCACATAGCCGCTGCTCAGATGTAAGATACTCATTAGGGCTCTGTTATTCTCCCATCTGTAGAAACACAAGATTTATCAGAAGTGGTTATTTTTTCCTGAGGTTTGTGTGCTTTTATGTACCAAAAACATTGATAATTCATTTGTATAAGAACATTTTCTAACCTCTCTTTGTCCCTGAGTATAAAACAGATCATGTCCCTGAGTACTAAACAGAGAGCTCTGCACATGAGATTTCAAAATATAAAAAAAATGGAAACTTATTGAGCTAAGTCCAGGTTAAACAGCCAACTAACTGCCAAAATCAGAAAAAGATTGTATTATTAGTGTGCTTGTAAAACACACTCACTCACACATTTTATGTCACAATACCTACATTTAGAGCCAGTTCTTCACTCAACCTAATGAGAAACTGTAGAACAGACTCAGTTTATATCACAATACCTACATTTAGAGCCAGTTATTCATTCAACCTAATGAGAAACTGTAGAACAGACTCAGTTTATATCACAATACCTACATTTAGAGTCAGTTATTCATTCAACCTAATGAGAAACTTTTGAACAGACTCAGTTTATATCACAATACCTACATTTAGAGTCAGTTATTCATTCAACCTAATGAGAAACTGTAGAACAGACTCAGTTTATATCACAATACCTACATTTAGAGCCAGTTATTCATTCAACCTAATGAGAAACTGTAGAACAGACTCAGTTTATATCACAATACCTACATTTAGAGCCAGTTCTTCATTCAATGTAATGAGAAACTGTAGAACAGACTCAGTTTATATCACAATACCTACATTTAGAGTCAGTTATTCATTTATTCATATTTATCTTGTATGTGTGGGAAAGATCACACTGTTATCAGGTAGCATATATTGTTGCTGTTTTAACACCTCATGTCAAAAAACAACTACCTTACTGGAAAAGGAAAAACATTCTTAACGATGATGTACTATATATTAATGTAACAAGGCTGTTTGTCCTCCTATTGAGTAAACCCTGTCTGGTTTCCTCCCACAGTCCAAAGACATGCAGTCAGGCCGATGGGACATGCTAAATTGCCCCTAGGTGTGAATGTGTATGTATGTCTGTCTGTCTGTCTGCCCTGCGATAGACTGGCGACCTGTCCAGGGTGTATCCTGCCTTCCGCCCAATGACAGCTGGGATAGGCTCCAGCACCCCACCGCGACCCAGAAGGATAAGCGGTTTAGATGATGTATGTATGTATGTAAGTTTGCTGGTATAGTTTTTCCTTGACCTCATGTTTATCTCAGCTGTCCCATTTCAATTCGGTTATGTCATCTTCATTAGGCAGTAGGGGTAAAAATAGTGCCTGTCACAAGCAGGCAGAGACCAACCCAACCATTTTCTTGGTTGGGTTAGTCTTCGTCTGGCTATTGTTTTGTCCTAAACAACTTGCTCTATTGTTTTTCGTTCTCCATGTGGGATTTTTTATGTTATATATTTCACAAATATGCTTAACCAAAATGCTTGGTTACATATTTTTTGTTGTTGTTGGTGGTATTTGTTTTAGCCACATATTTTATGTTGAATTAAATTTAGTAGGCACCTGTTGTGATGTTACCTGCGTGGTCAGAGGAAAGTTTACTTCCTGCAAATGTAATGGTGCATTCATCAGTTAGATTACATTAATTGTGATATACACTATATTGCCAAAAGTATTCGCTCATATACTATATATATATATATATATATATATATATATAACTATATAGTATACTATATATTCACACGCATATGAACTTGAGTGACATCTCATTCTTAATCCATAGGGTTTAATATGATGTCTGCCCACGCTTTGCAGCTATAACAGCTTCAACTCTTCTGGGAAGCCTTTCCACAAGGTTTAGGAGTGTTTATGGGAATTTTTGACCATTCTTCCAGAAGTGCATTTGTGAGGTCAGACACTTATATTGGACGAGAAGGCCTGGCTCGCAGTCTCCACTCAAATTCATCCTAAAGGTGTTCTATTGGGTTGAGGTCAGAACTCTGTGCAGGCCAGTCAAGTTCCTCCACACCAAACTCGCTCATCCATGTCTTTATGGACCTTGCTTTGTGCACTGGTGTGCAGTCATGTTGGGACAGGAAGGGGCCGTCCCCAAACTGTTCCCACAAAGTTGGAAGCATGAAATTGTCCAAGGGGCTGAGCCCAACTCCTGAAAAACAACCACACACCATAATCCCCCCTCCACCAAACTTTACACTTGGCACAATGCAGTCAGACAAGTACCGTTCTCCTGGCAACCGCCAAACCCAGAATCGTTCATTGGATTGCCAGGTGGAGAAGCGTGATTCGTCACTCCAGAGAACACGTCACCACTGCTCTAGAGTCCAGTGGCAGCGCTTTACACCACTGCATTTGATGCTTTGCATTGCAGTTGGTGATGTAAGTGGATGTAAGTTCATCACTGCATCCACAAAAGCAAATTAAAACTCTGCCGTGAAAAGAAGAAACAGGATCCAGACACGCTGGGCCTGAGTTAATTTAAGATGTACTGAAGTGAAGTGGAAAGTGTCCTGTGGTCTGACGAATCAACATTTGAAATTCTTTTGGAAATCATGGGCACATGGACACCACCCAGCTTGTTATCAGCACACAGTTCAAAAGCCAGCATCTGTGATGGTATGGTGGGTGCATTAGTGCACATGGCATGGGGGGTTTCACACAGCACATCTGTGAAGGCACCATAAGTGCTGAAATATATACTCAGGTTTTTGGCAACATATGCTGCCATCCAGACGACGTCTTTTTCAGGGAAGGCCTGGCTTATTCAGCAAGACATTCTGCATGTTCTACAGCAGCATGGCTCTGTAGTAAAAGAGTCCAGGTGCTAAACTGACCTGTCTGCACTCCAGATCTGTCACCCACTGAAAACATTTAGCACAAAAATATGACAAAGCAGACCCCGCACTGTTGAACAGCTAAAATCCTTTTTACTTTCAAATCTACAGCAGTCGGTCTCCTCAGTTCCCAAACACTTACAGAGTGTTGTTAAATGAAGAGGTGATGTAGGACAATTGTAAACATACACCTGTCCTAACCTTTTTGAACATGTTGCTGGCATCAAATTCAACATGGTCATATATTTTTCGAAAACAATAAACTTTCCTAGTTTCATTTCATGTGTTGTCTTTGTTATATTTTCAGTTAAATATAGTGTTTACATGATTTGCCTATCATTGAATTCTGTTTTTATTTACATTTTGCACAGTGTTCCAACTTTTTTGGAATGTGGTTGTATTATTATCAAAAAACCAAACACTATGCACTCTTTTCTGTCTAGTTTTTGCAGCCTCAATAACCTCAATAATCGCACAGATGTGTGATTTGATGATCAGTAACCAAAATCACATTTGAAAAAACATTCAAAAGGAGTTAATTGCTATTAAAATGCTACAAGACTGTGTGTTTGAGGCTGTACATCAATTGTAACCATGTCAACGTAAACAACACAAGGCAGCAGTTGTTTTCTTTTTTTCATTTCTTTTTTTGTGGCAGTTTTATTTTCTGGCATGTGTTGGACTTTGACTTGATGTAAGACATAGGATTAAATGGAGTGAATTCACTCAAAGGGGAACGACTACAGACTTCACAACAAAGCTGAAGTTAGTTTCTTCTTCGCCAGCTTCTCATTTGAATTTTCCTTTCCACTTTAAATGGTGCAGCAGTTAGCTGGTACCTGAAGAGGTGTCAGAATGTCACTGCTGCAACATTTAAGTTGGAAAGGAAAATTTAAATAAGAAAGTGCTAGGCAAAGAAGTCACAAAAGTTCAGGCAGTGTAATCAGGCTGCTTTTTAAAATCATTTTTATATAATCACGGACAAGACTAAAATGTGCCTGCTTTCCAGGAACAATTTTGAGTTTTACAGCATATTAATCATTTAGAGATCATCAGCAAATTTGGGGCAAGCAGAAGCAAGCAGCCCTGTTTTGTGGACATGTATGCAATTGTGAATGCACACAAGGTAAAAGACCACAAAAGCTGGGCAAGCCAGATATTCACAAGCTTGGAAGACATTGCTGTATTGTCCAAATTATCTTCATGTAACCCTTTAATTAACCCTTAAATAACAGCTGTTGATGGCAAAAACCTTCAAAGTTGATTGTGAAGATTTGATTATTGAAGAACTCATTTGGTACCGATGGTCTTTGTGACCATCTGAAGTGCAGTTTAAACTAAACCCAACTCTGAGGATGGGTACTGAAATACCTGTAATGAAGTTATACCTTTATACCAACGGGTAGACAGCATTTGTGGCGATACCACACTGATTTTTCTTGTTCCTGGACATCTTGATGTAGCCGTTTTCACCCCAGTTAACACCCCAGCTGCAAAAGAAATTGCTGTTAGTGTGGCATGAAAATGAAATCTACACAGTTTTCATCTTATGTCAGATTATGTATGTGGCAAGTAATGAAAGCTAATTTGCCACCAATTAGCATGGTGCTAACTGCTCATCTCAAACCATGAAGAGTAATCTCTAATAGACTTCATTATGAAGTTTCTGACACTGTATGACACACTGTTACTTATAAACACGGAGTAAAGTCCAGATAAAATTCAGATTTCAAGATGGCTGCCACTACAGTTTTTGCTGTGACATTTTTTAAAGTTTATTTTAGATTATTTAATTACTCAGTGAAGTTTAAAGCAAGCATGGGGGGGTTTAGGCATGTAGTATGCATGATGCTAATTGGTGGGGTATAAGCTTCCATTACATTTAAGATTTTTGTTATATATAAATGTTATGAATGTATTATTTTATTGATTCTATCTGTGTAGCATCTGGAAATCTTTTTAAGTAAAATCCATTATTATTATTATTATTATTATTATTATTATTATTATTACTCTACTCTTGTAGCTTCTTGACGGATTGTCTACATTTGGTCTAAGGGGAAAATTGAATAAATGTTTGTTTGAACCATCACTTCATGACTTACTCTGTACTTACCATGAATCATTCAGAAGCTACTGAGAATGTTCTGTAGTTATGAGGGTGAGGAATTGTTAGAAACGTGTGGAACCATATACAGACCCTAAAGGTTGGTTTCCTGGACAGGGATTAATCGAGTCGGCTTAATCCCTATCTGTAAACCAGTTATATGTTCCTGGACAGGGATTAAGTCTAACCCTGGATTAAATTTCAGTGTCAACAGAGCATTACCACTGGAAATTATTTCTAGGTTTAGGCTTAATCTGGACCTGGTTAACCAGCCCTAAAGGGTTAAAACACATTCCCATTCCTTTGCTTATTCCAATTGGGATTTTTTTTAAATGAACGCTTAGTTTTGTTTGCCTGTTGCTTTACCTGTTCTTGACCAGCCAGTAGTCCTGTCCACTGGTGCTGCGGTCATAACCAACAACCAGGACAGCGTGATCCAGAATAGTATCGCTGCAGTATTGTTCATCATACACACCTGCAATCAGTCAATGTAGCAACTGTCAATCAAGACTTTCGGACATTAATTGACTAGTTGGTAATTTGATGAACCAATGACTCAAGTATGCTAAGAGAACAGCAGACAGATGAACTACCAACAGAAACCAACACATCCAATTTAATTCAGTCCCACAAATTATCCAGTGTACAGAGCCAGCCACACAAACCTTTACAGCAAGTGAAATTTCAGACACATCAGAAACTGCCTCAATTTAGGGTTTCTCTGGAAATTCTCTGTGTTATCTTAGCTGTGTTATTAATCCCATACTAAGTGTTAATTTCCTTGATGTTCCTTGTTTCATTAATCCCATACTAAGTGTTAATTCCCTGGACTGACTGGACTGATTTCAAGTCCCAGTGAACGCAGTGTAAATGATTAAAAATGTTTGTATGATGCTAAAATCTATCCAAGAACTGCCTGAATCTGACCTGATATTTATGTGAGCACTCATGATTGACAGTCTTCAGTGTATCACTGCCAGCCTGCTACACCACTGAAACAGAACTAAACACAACGGCATGAGTGAAGCAGGAGAAGTGAGTGAAACAGCCTCTACATATACAGGTAGTGTTGTAGACCCTGCTGTGTCCACTCATTAAACCCTTATCCAGCTTTTATATGGAGAAGAAGGTTAAAGAAGATTCCTATTCGCTTTACTGTTGAATCTGCATACAGGGAATGCTGATGGTTAGCTTTCATTTGGTAAGTTTCCTGGATTCAAACACAGAGAACAGTAATTTGTTAAAACTGTGTGGGCGAGACAAAACACCTCAGCCTTGCTACAGTTACAGACTGTAGTCCATCAGTTTCTCTGCATACTTTATTCCCCAGTTCTTCAATGGTCAGGACCACCAGAGAGCAGGTATAATTTGAGTGGTGGGTCATTCTCAGCACTGCAGTGACGTGGTAGTGGTGGATTGTTGGTGTGTGTTGCGCTGGTGCAAGTGGATCAGACACAGCAGTGCTGCTGGAGTTTTTAAACACTGTGTCCACTCACTGTCCATTCTATGAGACTCTCCTACCTTGTTGGTCCACCTTGTAGATGTAAAGTCAGAGACAGTAGCTCATCTGCTGCTGTACAGTTTGCGTTGGTCAGTGCTGAGAATGACCCACCACCCAAATAATACCTGCTCTGTGGGGGTCCTGAGGGGGTCCTGACCATTGAAGAACACGGTAACAGAGTATGCAGAGAAAGAGATGGACTACAGTCTGTAATTGTAGCACAAAAAAAGTGCAACTATACGGTCAGTGGAAGTTCCTAATAAAGTGCTTAGTGAGTGTATGTTGTGGCCCACAAGATCAAGACTAACCCGCTGAGAAAGAAACTCCTATCTGTTACACTATGATAATACAAGCAGTGGCACAGACATCTAAGAGTAACAATGTCAGATTCACCCAGGTAACCTTGCATTTGCACACCTGCAAAGTAAAAGCAGCATATTGTAATGAGTCAATGTTCGTCAGTGTCTGAGGTGGTTCAATAGTTAGGTATGTGCACCAGTGCAGAAAACATATAGTAATGACAAATCAGGGGTGGTTTTTAAGTTTACCTGACTGATAAAGTTTGAATGTGCGACGTCTGGTGTCTATGTCTACAGAAACAGGTCCGATTGCGGCCACTGCAGACTGCAGAGCATTCTCATCCCCTTCGGGCACTGTTTCGAAGCCGCTGCAGGTAGCAACAGCGTTTTGTTGATTATATCTGCAAGTCCCTTCCTGAGGAGAGATGGGAAAATCAGGATGGCTAGCATTCATTTAAAGGTTCAGGCACATTAAGTCTACATTGAACATCATGAGAGACTATGGGTAAAGGGGAAGTGAGGGACATCATAATAGCCGAGTTGTCTGAAATAAAGATAGGGAGAATTGTAATATATATTGAACAATATGTAATATATTATTGAGTGTTTAAGGGCTGAGGGCGATATGAAAAAAAAAATCCTAGAATATGATCTGTTACAAGTAGAGCAGAAGGTGTAGTTTCTACAGCCTGGATTGTTTGTATGCCAAGGATCAAAAAGATTCTTTCCAGCTATGAACTAGTAAGAATAAATACTAATACTAGTTTTAAATCAAATATGGGTTTGGGTCTACCTATTTCAAAATGAATCAACAAGTAACAGCATAAACATGCTCCACATCTCATTTCACCCTCTGTCTTAAACGCTTCAGCAGTTGCCGACTTATGTTACTTTGTAGAGCGAGTAAAACCACAGACCCATATGATTGGCTTACAACTGATGAGGTCTGATATGATTGGCTTAAAACTGACAAGATTTGATATGACTGGCTGAGCTGTGGCGAATTCTATACTGTGTATAGTCCTGTGTTTTGTATAGTTCTGTACTGTGTATGTAGATTTTTGTACTGGGTATAGTTCTTCATTGTAGCGTTCTGTACTGTGTATAGTCCTGTAGTGTGTGTATAGTTCTGTACTGTATATAGTCCAGTAGTGTGTGTATAGTTCTGTACTGTGTATAGTCCAGTAGTGTGTGTATAGTTTTGCACTGTGTATAGTCCTGTAGTGTGTGTATCATTCTGCACTGTGTATAGTCCTGTAGTGTGTATAGTTCTGCACTGTGTATATTTTTGTACTATTTTTGTATTTCTTCATTATGTATAGTTTTGTACCGTGTGGAGGTCTTCACTGTGTGTAGTTCTGTACTTTGTATAGTTCTGCACTGTGTATAGTCCTATAGTGTGTGTATAGTTCTGTACTGTGTGTATAGTTCGGCACTGTGTAGTCCTGTACTGTGTGTACTGTTCTGCACTGTGTATAGTCCTGTAGTGTGTGTATAGTTCTGCACCATGTATAGTACTGTAGTGTGTGCATAGTTCTGCATTGTGTATAATCCTGTAGTATGTGTAGTCTTGCATTTTCTATAGTCCCGTATTGTGTGTATAGTTCTGCACTGTGTATAGTCCTGTAGTGTGTGTATAGTTCTGCCCTGTGTATAATCCTGTAGTTTGTGCATAGTTCTGCATTGTGTATAGTCCTGTAGTGTGTGTATCGTTCTGCACTGTGTATAGTCCTGTAGTGTGTGTATCATTCTGCACTGTGTATAGTCCTGCATTTTGTATAGTCCTGTAGTGTGTGTATAGTTCTGCACCATGTATAATCCTGTATTGTGTGTAAAGTTCTGCACTGTGTATAGTCCTGTAGTGTGTATAGTTCTGCACTATGTATAGTTCTGCATTGAGTGCTGTACTGTGTAAGGTTCTGCCTTGTGTAGAGTTCTGTACCATGTACAGTCCAGCACTATATAGCGTTTTGTATTGTGTAAAGATGTGAACTGTGTAGAGTTCTGCACTGTGTAAAGTTCTGTACCAAGTATAGCTCTTAACTGTGCTACAGAGCCCTGCTGGTGACATCTCTTCTAAATAAAAATAAAGCATGGCCACGCCATATTAACGTGTGGGAATAAGATCCTAATGCAACTTAATAAGGCGTGGGAATGACATAGTAAGGCATAGGAATGAGACCTTACTCAATAATGGCCATATTTTTATTTATACAGGGGCTCCGTATAGTGTAGAGTTTTGTGCTCTGTTAGTTCTGCACTGGCCACCAGCAGGCCACTTCATTAAGTCCACCTCACTGTATTTACACTCATTGTCTATGCAATTTATAGTTCTACAGTTACAGACTGTAGTCCATCTGTTTCTCTGCGTACTTTGTTACCCTGTTCTTCAATGGTCAGGACCCCCACAGTACCGTTACAGAGCAGGTATTATGTGGCACTCAGCACTGTGACACTGATGTGGTGGTGACTTATTGTGTGTTGCACTGGTATGAGTGGATCCAACGCAGCAGTGTTGTTGACATTTAAAACACAAAAATTACAATCTTGGTTATATGTCCATTACTATTTGTAATATAGGAGCAAGATCATTTTTTAAATGCAGAGGGAATTCCAGCTGCACATGCAGGTCACAGCACAGAAATGGACGAAGAAGTAGCTGCAAGTCATTTCAGACAAATTTATTCTATCAGTGGCTTTCTGGGATAGCTATGAAGTTATAGAAAGTTTATACCATTGCTCAGTGGTGAGAACATACACGGAGCACATATTTGTTACAATACTGTTGTTTGCTGTGGAAAATGGGTGTTCATATCACATGCATTGTAGTGTTTTTAGTGGATGTGCTGGCATGTAGTTTAGCATGAATACAAATCCAAGAGCTTGTCTTTTCCCAAACATTGCTGCCGATTCTTTCTGCATCACTTTTACTCTGGTTGTATTGTAACAATTTTGAATGACAGTGGCCACATACAGCTGCTAGTAACCCAGTGTCAATCTTTGTTACTTGCCAAGTGATATCTTCTACAGCTAATGCATAGTCTACTTTAATGGAACGTTTTTTTTCCTGTTGCAAGACCTCATGTTTAACTTTATTACATGTAATGTGTTCTCCACACTCGCAACTCATATCTACATGCTTAATTAGAGTTTTTGGGGATTTTTTAACAATGCTAATTTACATTATAGTCATGGGGCTAACCACAGACTTGTCCGTTAGACAATGTTGAAGAGAGCCCTATCACCCCCTATTTTGAGCTCTGCCTTCATGAGATATTGAATTGGTTTAGAACAGGCGTCTATAATTAAAATTCAATAAGGTGCATTTAGAGATAATTTCCTCAAGCAAAGGTCCGGAACATCATAATGTCTAACCTGCATCATGATTCAGTGCCATATAATGTATAATGAAGTAGCCTAGTAGGTATATCAACATCTTTTGCAGTCAAAAACTGAATGTCAAATCAAATAAAGTACAATTCAGTCATATTTCAACAACATTTATCAGTTTTCTCTTTTTAGAGCACGCCATGTGAAATAACTTCCCTCTGGCTCACTTTCTTCTCTGACTGCTGTGTCTCGCCTTGTCCCTCCCCTGTGTGTGCGTCTCAGTGCTCATTGTAATGCACATATCTGATTGGTTGAGTAGTGTCACATGTGATATTTACAATGCATGCGTTTGGTCTGTGAGTTTCCTGGGCTGTCAAATTAAATGATTCTCCATAGTTTATCGCTTATAGGTCCAGGTCCACATAGGACTTGGGTCCATCTGGGTCCGGACTCGGACCACGGTCCACCTAATAGTGACTTTTTCACACTATGTTTGTCTCCACATTAATAAGTCTAGATTCCTTCACGTTTAGCCCCATGGTCGTCAGATGTGTGTTCTCAGTACAAGATCATGTCTAGCTCCGTGAGACTAACCATAGAGCTGCATGTTTATAATTTTGTCATTGAGCTGTGAGTTTGGTTTTCCAGAAAGTTTAAATAAAAACTTTTTCAGCTTCAGGAATTAAATCGAAATAGTTTTACCTTTCAGATAATCAGGATAACGTCTGAATTACACTTTCTCTGTAACACCTTTCCACATCTCTTAGCCTAATTATTGTGAATAATTTATCACCAGCATCGCTCTAGTGGTTTTCTAAAGGGGTTTTGCCAGAATTTTTAATTTACTTGTTGGAAGAAGTAGTGCTTAAAGATGGTGGCTAAGCACTGACTGGATGAGCATCATGTCATTCAATAATTTGCAAATGGTCAATTACAGTCCATAACATGATTTTAATTCAGAACATGGATTCTAAATTCAACTGTCAGGCCAGATGAGAACCAAAGTGTGGCCGGTCCAAGTCCGCAGGCCCTATGTTTGACACCCCTGTACTAGACTATTGCATTGTGTGATAGCATGCATTTTTGTGCAACAACCAATATACAATAATACCAATAAACTGAACCGTAGTCTGGTTTTATTGGGACCCTCCACTAATTTTAAATAATTAATTGTGAAGAATATGCTATTAGAACTACGTGCCAATGTGTCTTGTTAGCTTCTAATTGTATTTTTTTTTGTTTAATTTTATTTATACTAAGAAACAAACCCTCTCTTTGTGGATCATAAAACTAATAAATAGAAATAAATAAGCTGATGAGGTAAAAAGCTGGTTTATCAATAGAGGAGAAATGTTTTGAAAAATTGTTAATGTAGCAGGAATAAAAGTCACGTGTTTGTTACTATGTCCTCTCAATGACATTTGCTGCAGTGGGGTTCGGTGAGAGTCAGTGACTTACATCCCTTATTAAATGGGCCACTGCCTGCTCTGCTCCCTGCTGCCCGGCTTCTCTGAACGGACCTACATCATATACAGCTGACTGAGGGTCAAAATTGCTCTACCAAGCATTAATAAAGGTTCAACTCCTACAGGGTAAGTGAGACACTTGTCTTACTATGTATGGTGCAAGTGTGTCATGTCATCTTCAAGAAATTGTGCAAAACAGTAGTTAAGGAAACACTGAGTAATTCCTATTTTCTACTGTTCAGAAATTAGCTTAAAGTTTACAAAACGTTTTAATGGAAATCCTGCTATTGTTAGACATTCCACCAGGGCATGCCACACGGTTCAAGGTTGTGGCTCTTCCACAATTAGAATCCCCAGTTTGCTAAATAGAATATTTTGGCACACCATGACACTTTTCAGATAGATCTATCAATTCTGCTACTTTTTAAGCTGTTTTATAATGTTATTTTATTCACTTTTTCATGAATATTTAATTCAAACAATCACAATATTTTAATTTTATTTCCTGTGACTATTTAATTTGCTCTCTCAACTTCACTCATTGGTAAGCACAATAGACTCACCTCGTTCTCATAAGAATAGGACTCCTCTGTCTGCAGGCCTCCAACTTTCTTTATGTACATAAAGGCGAAATCTACACTTCCACCTTCACAGCCATTGTTTCCATTTTCAAAAGAGCAGTCGACCAGCTGCTGCTCACTGAGGGACACCAGTGTCTTTGTCTTCTTGAACATCTGAGCCTCTAGTGCCCCTGTCTGAGGAAAAAATAGAGGGAAAATGAAGGGAAAGAGAGAAAAAGAAATGGTAATGATTTGTTTTCAACACTTAATATCATTCAAACGTTGTGATTGACAGAAGAGATGCCATGCTACAATATCCCTGTACTGATTTATTAAAAGAACCCCCTGAGAAAAGGCCAGAGACATTAAAACCGAAAAGTAGGCTGGCCCAAATACATACAAACACTGAATAAATGAACTACCGCAGGATACATACAGTCCCTGTCACTTTTTTTAGAAACCCCTTTCGTGTAGCTCCACCTTGCTGGTGTGCATGTTAGAGACTGTAGCCCATCTGTTGATGTACAGTTTGTGTTATCCATCCTCTTGCAAGTACATGACTCTGCTGGTCCACTGTCAGAACTGTGAATCTGCCTGTAAGCCAGTAGTGGCCCACATTGAAACAGGTCAGGACCACTGCTGACAAAACTAAGAATGAACAATTAACAGTTTTTTTGTTTACTGAAACATATTATATGGACAAAAATATTGGACAAAAAAATGGGAAACACTTCTTAATCATAGAATTTAAGTGTTTCATTCAGTCCCATTGCCACAGGTGTATAAAAGCACAAACGTTTACAAATTTTTGTGAAAGAATGGTGTGACAGTGCCACATGAGAAGTCTTAAAATGGTTAAATGAAATCCTGGCAGCGTTAAAACCTTCTGGTGTGTGGGTTACGTATTAAATGAATGGACGTTTTTTTATTCTGTATTAGCCAAGTGTATTATACGGGGCCCTAAAATGAAACTGAACTAAGAGTTGCGTATAGGCCCTTTAAGAGCTCTGCTGGAAAAGGGGGGGTGGAGGGACTGAGACAGGTGACTGGAAACCAGGAAAGAGGAAGGACGAAAAAAGTTTTTGGGCCCTGTGGAAGTGAGGGTGGTGATGTGTTTGGGGTGAGAGGAGCAGTACAACCCAAAGCCTACCACTCAACCTGGGAACTCATGAGCTCGGCCGAGGATCCATCTAAAAGGGCAAGACAAGCGCAGGGAGGAACTAGAAGGTGGATTTCCTCTAACTGTCTTGGATGTAACTGGATGTCAGGCCTGCTCCACCGGTGAGATCTATCCTGGATTTTTTCTTTTTTCGTTCACTGCAATGCATTGCTTGCTAAGGACTTGTGGGATTTTGGATTTTTTGTGACTTTGAGTTTTGGACTTTCAGAGTTGATGGACACTGGGCACTTATTGTGTGTATATAGGGGTTGTATATGTGTATGTGTTTGTTCCACTGATTTTTCCAATATAACTTCAACGGGTTTTTGTCTCTCCTGTTTGGGCTTATTTGCAATCTCCTCTACTCTTATACTTGGGGTGTATAGTCCTTGGACTTCAGTAACTGTTTTCTTGGTTGAGATTTACAAGGGGATTGTTACAATGGGTCACTCTAAAGAGCTCACTGAACTCAAGTGTGATACTGAAATAGGATACCACCGTTGCAACACGTCAGTTGACGAAATTCCTTCCCTCCTAGATATTCCACGATCAACTATGACTGTTATTATTGAAAATTGGAAGCGCTTAGGAACCACAGCAACTCAGCCATGAATTGTCAGACCACGTAAAGTTACAGAGCAGGTTGCCGAGTGCTGAGTAGCATAGGTCACAAAACTCTCCATCGTTCTGCTGACTCAGTAACTGTTCAAACCTCCTCTGGCATTGATACCGGCACAAAAACTGTGCCAGGAGCTTCATGGCATGGGTTTTCATGGCTGAGCAGCTGCATGCAAGCCTTACATCACCAAGCACAATGCCATTCATCGGATGGAGTGGTGTAAAGCACCGCCACTGGACTCTGGAGCAGTGGAAATATATTCTGTGGAGTGACGAATCACGCTTCTCTATCTGTCAGTCTGATGGACAAGGTGGGTTTGGTGAATGCCAGGAGAACGTTAACTGCCTGACTGCATTGTGCCAGCCGTAAAGTTTGGTGGAGGAGGGATAACGCTATGGTGTAGTTTTTCAGGGGTTGGCATAGAACCCTTAGTTCCAGTGAAGGGAAATCTTAATGCTTCACCAAGACATTTTGGACCATTTCATGCTTCCAACTTTGTGGGATCAGTTTGGGGAAGAACCTTTTCTAATCCACCATGACTGAGCCCCAGAGCACAAAGCAAGCTCCATAAAGGCCTGGCTGGGTAGGTTTGGTGTGGAAGAACTTGACTGGCCCTCACAGAGCCCTGACTTCAACCCCATGAAACACCTTTGGGATGAACTGGAACGGAGATTGTGACCCAGACCCTCTCATCCAGCATCAGCGTCTGACCTCACAAATGTTTTTCTGGATGAATCGGCAAAAATTCCCACAGACACTCTGCAAAATCTTGCAGAAAGCTTCCCAGAAGAGTGGAAGCCGTTATATCTGGGCAATTCCATTTCACCTCCACATTTTGCTCTTGCCTTTGTCTGATACAAGTTAATCTTGGTCTCATGTGTCCACCAGACCTTTTCCCAGAATACTGCAAGCTTTTTAAAGTACTTTTTAGCAAAGTGTAACCTGGCAATCCTGTTTTTGTGGCTAACTAGTGATTTGCATCTTACAGTGTAGTCTCTTTATTTCTGTTCATGAAGTCTTCTGTGAACAGCAGTCATTGACAAATCCACACTTGCCTCTGAACAGTGTTTTTGATCTGTTGGACAGGTGTGTGGTGATTTCATCCAGCTGTACAGGTCTTGCTTGGCCTACCAGCCCCTTTATGGTTATAAAGCTCACTAGTTCTCTCTTTTTCCCTAATATTGTTCCAAACAGTTAGTTATTAGACCAAGTATTCCAATTTCTGATTTATGAAAACTAGTTTTACATATATGTGTAGAACCATTTATATGTTTATATCCCTGTTTACAAAGGATGTCCCAAAGATGCTGAGAGACAGATGTGCTATAAAGTTATGTCGATAAGGAGACAAATGCAATGTGTTTCATAGTCAGTTTAGCTAGTTTATTAGTTTAAGAGGTTTTGCATCACACAAAAAGTTCTGCATTTGAAAGATCATGAGGAGAAACAAAGTCTTATTATTAAAAATTAAAAAAATGAAACTGCATGCATTTTAATTATCAATGAAATAAAAATGAAAATACATTTTAATCTAAGGTATTTTCATTTTTAATTCATTTTAATGCCTACAATGCCTCTCTCTAACGATCATGCTCGCTTACTTTAAAACAGTGCTTTTTAAACTGTGGGTGGCAGTGCACTGGTAGGTGGGGATGAATCATTGCATATATGCAAAAGTAGAGCTAAATTAAAGGCTTTTCGGATTAAAGGCAGTAACCTTCATTTCCTGGCACCCAACTGCTGTACAGGGGCGTGGCCAATGTGGCCAGTGCCACCATAGCGTGAAGCTTGGCCACCACTTTGGCCAATCCTTTTGGCCACCCCGGTTATGCAAAGTGAGACAGTCAGCTATCCTCAGTAAAGCAGTGACCAGAGAAAAGTTCACTGTGTGAACGGTTATGCTTACGGTGTGAACAGTTATGCTTACAGTGAAAATCTGTCATCAGGGCAGTTACTGAACATATGTAAGAGTCTGATCACTCTGCAATCAGCATTCAGTACAGCTCACTGTGATAAACTACTTTGATGAGTGAAAGGATGGTGGTCAACGCTGGTCTTATTCATTTTGTTTAGTAAATGAACAAACATTGGTTTTATACATTAGGAAACAGATAACTATGGAGCCCCGCTGGTGACATCCTGTATAAATAAAAATAATGCGTGGCCACGCCTTATTAACGTGTGGGAACGAGATCCTAACGCATGGCCACGACTTAGTAAGGCGTGGGAATGAGATGATTAAGTCGTGGCCACGACTTAGTAAGGCGTGGGAACGAGATCACTGCTTACTAAGTCGTGGCCACGCATTAGGATCTCGTTCCCACGCCTTACTAAGTCGTGGCCACAACTTAATCATCTCATTCCCACGCCTTACTAAGTCGTGGCCACGCATTATTTTTATTTATACAGGATGTCACCAGCGGGGCTCCGTAGATAACATCTACATCACAATAGTAATTTTGTTCAAGTGCTCTGTGTGCATCACATGACCACATTGAATGATCACATTTTTTACAAACCAAGATGGTGGAACATGTACATCGCGATGCTCAGCGTCTCACCAGTTTTAGTGACATAGTATTTATTTATCTAGCCATCTCCTGTGTTTTCACTCAACTCATTCATGCAAATTTCATATACAACAGAGAGACACTGCTTAATATTAATCATTGCTGCACAAACATCATTTTGGACCTTCCATTCAACTTCAACCAGCTAGCCCTTAGCTAACCAGAACACCGAGACCAGACTAACCATTCATACCAACTGGAAGAGCCTGGCACTGGTGTCGAGACCATAAACAAAGACGGGGTAAGTGCAGAGGTCTGAGTGCTAAGCTAAGGCTTAACTCACACCGGCCAGCACTACCTAGCATCTTCCTCACCAATGTGCAGTCTCTGGCGAACAAGCTGGACGAATTAAAGATCTGGACCCTCGCACAGTAAAAGGCTTATGGGCTGCAGTTTCATGTTTTTTTTTCAGAAACATGGCTAAGCAGAGATGTTTCTAACAGTGTGGTGGAACTAATGGGGCGTACAGAGCTGACTGGTCAGCTACAGCTTCGGAGCTTCGGGTGAGAGCCACGGTGCTGTTTGCATTTATGTAAACAAAGCATGATGCACAGACTCTGTCGTTGTTGACACCCACTGCTCTGCTGATCTGGAATTCCTGATTATTAAGTGCAGACCCCTCTATCTTCCATGTGAGTTTACCTGCAATGTTGCTGCTGGTAACACTAATGCTAATGTGGCTATGAAAAATCTTTGTGCTGCTGTTATCAAACTGCAAACTGTGCACCCAGACGGAGCCTTTATCATCACTGGGGACTTTAATGACAGCAATTTAAGATCTTTATTTCCGAAGTTTCATTAGAATGTCTCCTGCACCACAAGGGGACAAAAAACTTTGGATCATGTTTACACCAGTGTGGCTAATGTGTACAAAACCACATCCCTCCCCCATCTGGGACAGTCTGACCACCTTTCTTCATTCCTGCTCCCCAAGTACACCCCAGTCATCAAACGTGAAGAAAAAAACCCACAACAAGATCTGTGAAGATCTGGATGGAAGGGGCTGACTCCTCTCTTCAGCAACTGTTCCAGCACACAGACTGGAGTGTGTTTGCAGCCCAGTCCACCACAGACTCTCACACCAACATTGACATTTACACCAACTCTGTCCTGGAACATATCAACAGCTGTGTGGACAGAGTGACAACTCACAAACAATAAAAACCTTGCCTAACAGAAGCCCTGGATGAACAGAGAGGTTCACCTCCTGCTCAAAGCAAGAGATGCTGCCTTTAGGTCTGGTGACCATATTACAGGCTTACAGCTTACAGCCAACCTCAGAAGAAGCATCTTAAAGGCTAAACACTGCTACAAACAGTGGATTGAAGAGTAATTCAACTCCTCTGACCCCCGGCACATGTGGCAAGGCATACAGTCAATTACTGACTTCAAACCACCATGCACTGTGCCCCTACCATTGTGCCTCACTCCCCGATGAGCTCAACCACTAAGGTGGTCTTCTCCAAAACAGATTTACCACCAGATGAGCAGCCACTTACATCTCTACCATGGATGTCTGTCACACTCTGAGCAAGGTGAATGCATGAAAGACAGTTGGCCCTAATTGAGGTTTAAAGCTTAGCCAGCTTGGTATCAACACAACTCACTGTAATTTAATTCTGGACTTCCTGACTGACAGACCTCAGTCTGTTAAGTTAGATAAACTCTTCTGCTCCCCCATCACCCTGAACCCCTGTGTGCCACAAGGCTGTGTGCTCAGCCCTCTTCTGTACTCCCTGTTCACTCATAACTGTGTTCCTGTTTATGGCTCGAACTCCATAATCAAGTTTGCAGATGACACCACGGTGAGGGGTCTGATCAGAAGTGATGATAAGATGGCCTACAGAGACGAGGTGCAGCAACTGGTGGTCAACACCCAGAAAACCAAGGAGATCATAGTGGACTTTAGGAGGGGTAGGAGCTAGGCACACTCCCCCATCTACATCAACGGTGCGGAGGTAGAGCATGCCTGGCTTCAAGTTCCTTGGCATCTACATCTCGGATGATCTCACCTGCTCCCTAAACTTCTCCATCATGGTCACAAAGGCGCAACAGCGTATTTAATTCCTGGAGCATCAAGAAAGCTCACATGTGTCCCAGGATTGGTGAACTTTTACTGCTGTACCATTGAGAGCATACTCACAAACTGCATCTCTGTGTGGTACGGCAACTGCTCCGCATCTGACCGCAAAGCACTCTAGCGGGTGGTAAAAACTGGCCTGGGCAGGGCGAGGAACATCATCAAGGACGTTTCTCATCCCAACCATGGACTTTTTACCCTCCTTCCATCTGGCAGATGTTACAGGAGCCTCTGCTCCTGAATCAGCAGGCTCAGTAAGAGCTTCTTTCCTGAGGCTGTGACCCTGCTGAACTCCACACCGTCACTTTAACTGCCTCTTTGCACTCACTGCACTGTTACTGTACTTTATGCTTTCCTAGTATTATTGCACTATTCATATTTTGCACAGTATACTACTGCACTATTCATATTTGCACAAACAATTACTGTACAAGTTTACTCTGTATACTTATCTTTACATATGCTGCTCTCACAGTAAATACTACCTACATTTGTACGCTCTCCACTCACTCTGTATATATGTATATTATATTTATAGTTGCATATTATATTTTTTCTACCACTCTATATCTGCACTTTATATGTAAATAATACTGTATTTTGCACTTCTGGTTAAAAGCTAACTGCATTTCATTGGCTCTGTACCTGTACTCTGCACAATGACAAAGTTGAATCTAATCTAATTTAATCTTTTTTTTTTTAATTAATTGAATAATTAATTTATATTCAACTATAATCATTTGTCATATGAACTGATTAATTTTTACAGCTGTGTGCATGTGTGTGTTCAGGCTAGATTCTTCTGAGGTGAATCCAGTAAACATAGGTCAGTTTGTCATCCAGCTAAAGACTGTTCGCTAATAACGATACCTTTTACTCTGCTGTCTGGCTGTTTTATCGTTAGACTCATGAGTAACCTGTAGCAAGGCAGCCTAAATTCTACAACCTAAAATATTAATGTTAATGCAAATTAAAAATTTGATGTTAATGCCAAGCAAATTTACTGTGTAAATAATTCCCTCATGAATGATTAATATATATCAGCTCAGTTTTTCAGTTTACTTTTGGTGAATTTAACACAATTTTATTTGAATAAAACAGCCATGATATACGCACAGATGAACATTATTAACCACTGTTTCTTCTTTGCCACTACAAAAAATTCAGTGGGTCTAACATACACTGTAAAAAATGGCTCATCAGACCAACCTAAAAAAATACTTCATGTGGTAACAAGTGAATTAACTAGTTTTATTCAACCTGAATGAATGATTCTTTCATAAATGTAGTATTTTAAGTTGGATAAAACTAGTTAAATTTCTTGTTACCACATGAAGTAATTTTATTAAGCAGATCTGACGAGCCATTATGTGCAGTGTACAAAACTAGCTGACATCATGGAACAGAACCAATTTAAATAAGACATGTAATGTCCAAATGTTAAGTATGCATGTATGCAAATGTATGCATGTTTGTGATTAGAAAGGCCACAGCTGAACGACTGCATCTAAATACAGAACAAAAAAGTGCGACATTACTTTCTTATTTTTTCTGTTCCACACTCTCACTATAAGTAACAATATAGCATTTATGCATTTTCTTTTATAATAACATTAATCATGCTTTTGCATTGTGCAAAATTGGACAGCAAACATAAGAACCTTTTAGATGAATTAATTTCACTTCACAAAATATTTCATGGGTCTTGAGACAAACACTACTTCTACATACCTCTGGCATAAAAAAAAGTTTGGGAATCCCTGCTTTTATTGAGACTATGTGATGGGTGGGTGGATGGATGGATGGATGGATGGATGGATGGATAGACAGATAGATAGATAGATTTCATGTACATGTCCAAAAAGGCTTCTGTGCTCACAATGACAATCAGCTGGGGGTGCTGTTTCCAAGCAAAATGCATTTGAGCCACCGCAGACTTTCGTAAATCTGCCCCTTAATGCTCCAAGTTTAAATTCTATTATAAGTGAAATAACTTTGATAAGCAAACATAAGTCTCACTTATGAGTTGAGTTATTTTAATGTGTTTTACTCATAAGGATTTGCAGCCAACCATGTCTTATAGGAGTCATCTAAACTGATTATCTAGCCTAACTCCTCACCAGCTACATGGTTATCTGTGACTGGATGAACTAACCTATTAAGAATTTCAGAAAGGTCTTGTAGAAGAATGGAGCAATACAGTGTTTGACCAAAACAATGTAACATGCAAAGTTATTTTAGTTATTTGTAATATCACTAAAAGGTTTTAAGAAGTTTCACATCAATTACTCGCACTTAACCTAAGAACAAGCAGAAGCCATGTCAAAAGCAGATTCTGTGGTCATTAAACTAATTTTATGGGGACTTGGACTCAATTTTCACCTTCTTTTTAGCGCTGCTCTCACATCCTTTTGTTTGATTTACTGAAACTCACCGCACTGAAGGCCCAGCAGGATCCACACTCCATTTGGTTTTTAACACCAGTCACGTAGCCCTTGCTCCTCCAGTCCTGAGCGACGGGCAGAGAAGCACCACTCGCCTGTGGGAGGAATGGAGTTGCACTGCGAGTCTTAGTCGTGTTGAAGGATATCAGGCAGCCCTTGAACATGGCCTCATATTCTTGGTCGCTCTGTTGGAGAAGAGCAGCAGTGAAAGGCGTAGCATCAGCAGTCTTCCTAGCTACTGTTTTAAGGTTAGACAAGCTTTACAGAATATTCACGTTAGTGAACGTTCAAACAACAACACTAATGATTGTTATAATCACACAAACATGGTTAACTCTGGGTCATGGTAGGCAGTAGGCTACATGTTGGTCTTTCATTTTGTCCACACTGTCAGACATGGCTGAGGAAAAGGGAAGAATTAGGGCTGGAGTGGGAGTTACATGATGCAGACCAGCCTAGCCAACCTGCAACTGAACTTTCTGTGCTATGTTTTATTCCTGTCTAATGGTATCATTCATCTATGGCTGCATTTAATAATAGGAACAACAATAGACACAGAATAATTAAAAATAGAAAGGCAAAACATGCCTTGTCTTGTATCACAGAAAAGCCACCTAAATCTATGAGCCATAAGAATAGCTGAAGACATTGTTAGGTATGAGTACTTGCATCTGAGAGAGAGGTTTGGCCACTGTGGGAAGTCCCTTACCAATAGGAATTTAACATCTCTACCTGTGTATAACTAAATTTGTTCACACACAGAGCTGACATTATCTAGTATGCAAGAAATTCATTACAGGCTGTAACTTGGATGCAAGATGAAGATGGTGCCGAGTATGGCTGCCGTGTTGCGAGCTCCCGCTTACTTTTGCAGTTTTTTGTTGTTCTTGTGTTTGTTTTTAACTCTTTTTGCACTAAATGTTACTGGTTTTATCACCTACGACCGACAAACACTTCTGGAAATCAGATCGTCGATCACTCACCGGAAACCGGACTTTGAGTTCCATAACGCCGATCCTTTGTTTGCTAACACTGGAGAGGCGCCACTCATCTGGGCCGCCCGGCCACGCACCCGTCGAAGACGCCGGAAAAGAGGCAAGAGAGCCGGCGTGCTCGTCAGACTCAGACGCCGTGCCCATCGGCCGCCTCTTCCCACCATATTACTGGCTAACGTGCAGTCCTTGGAAAACAAGTTGTGTGAGCTTCATGCACGGGTCGCCTTCCAGCGAGAGATCCGGGACTGCAGCGTTATCTGCCTCACAGAAACGTGGTTATCCGATGAGGTCCCTGATAATGCCATCGAACCCGCCGGGTTCTCTGCACCGCGCCGATAGAACCAAGCAGCTTTCCGGGAAAAGCAAAGGAGGAGGTGTATGTTTTCTGATCAACAACGCTTGGTGTGATCGGAGGAATGTACATTTCATCGAGTCTTTCTGCTCGCCGGATTTGGAATATCTCATCGTGTTTTGCCGGCCGGCGTGGCTGCCCCGTGAGATAATGGGACTCTGTCTGGCCGCGGTGTACATCCCCCCGCAGGCGGACTCGGACCTCGCGCTCGGGAAGCTACACGAGGCTATCAGCAAGCAGATGACCGCGCGCCCGGAGGCTGCACTTATTGTTGCGGGGGACTTTAATCGGAATAACCTGCGAACCTACTGTCCGACATTATTCCAGCACGTAACATGTTTCACTCGGAAAGACAGGATTTTAGACCATGTTTACTCCAGCATCCGGAACTGTTACAAATCCCTCCCCCGACCCCCGTTCGGCAAATCAGATCACTCCTCCATCCTGCTCCTGCCCACCTATAGGCAGAAGCTGAAACGGGGGCCGGTCACTACCAGGGAGGTGCGCCGCTGGTCTGACCAATCAGACGCTATGCTGCAGGATTGTTTTGAATGTGGACTGGGAAATGTTCCGTGATTCGTCGGGCAGTGTTGACGAGTACGCAGACACAGTCACCGCCTTCATACGCAAGTGTGTGGATGACGTAGTGCCCTGCAGACAAGTCCGCGTTTACCCCAATCAGAAGCCCTGGCTGAACTGTGAGGTTCGCTCCGCCCTCAGCGCACGCAGCGCTGCATTCAGAGCGGGAAATACGGAGGAGTACAAGCAATCCAACTACGCTCTCCGTAAATCCATCAGAGCAGCTAAACGTGCGTACAGAACGAAAGTGAAGGCACAGTTCAACACAGCCAACACACGAAGCTTATGGCAGGGGTTAAATACAATCTCTGACTATAAAACTGACTCTCGCACTCTGCCCAGTACCAGCGCTGATCTGCCGGATGAGCTTAATAACTTCTACGCTCGCTTCGACGGAATTCCCGCAGCACCACTGGAGAGCGCCCCGCCCACCGCTGATCCCAACCCCCCCTCCGTCTCCGTAGCTGATGTGTGCAGAGCCTTCAAGAGGGTGAACCCACGCAAGTCAGCAGGACCAGATGGCATTCCCGGGAGAGTGCTTAAAGCCTGCTACAGGGAACTAGCAGGAGTTTTTGCAGACATTTATAACACCTCACTGTCTCTCTCGGTCGTGCCAGCTAGTTTCAAACTAGCCACCATTGTGCCAGTTCCAAAGACAGCTAGTATTACCTGTCTGAACGACTGGCGACCTGTTGCCCTGACCTCCATCGTAAGCAAATGCTTTGAGAGGCTGGTCAGGGATATCATCTGTTCCTCACTGCCTGCCACCCTGGACCCACTGCAATTTGCATATAGGCGGAATAGATCCACCGACGATGCAATCGCCCTGACCCTGCACACTGCCCTCTCCCACCTGGAAAAGAAGGACACGTATGTGAGAATGCTGTTTGTAGACTACAGTTCAGCATTCAACACAATCGTTCCTTCGAGGCTCGACTGCAAGCTCCGGGATCTGGGTCTGAACAGCACACTGTGCAGCTGGATCCTGAACTTCCTGACGGACCGACGGCAGGTGGTAAGGATGGGAAGTATCACATCTTCCTCTTTGACCCTCAACATCCGAGTCCCCCAGGGTTGTGTGCTCAGCCCGCTCCTGTACTCCCTGTACACCCATGACTGCACTGCTAGACACAGTTCCAACGTCATCATAAAGTTTGCTGACGACACAACAGTTGTGGGCCTGATCTCCAACAACGATGAATCGGCCTACAGAGAGGAGGTTAAAATCCTGGAAAACTGGTGCCAGGAGAATAACCTCTCTCTAAACGTCAGTAAGACCAAGGAGCTGATCGTGGACTTCAGGAAGCAGGAGAGAGTACACCCATCGATTTCCATCAATGGGACTGCGGTAGAGAGGGTCAGCAGCTTTAAGTTTCTCGGTGTTCACATCAGCGAGGACCTGACATGGGCAGTGCACACCTCACAGGTGGTGAAGAAGGCCCACCAGCGCCTCTACTTCCTCAGAAGGCTGAGGAGGTTTGGCCTGAACCCCAGCATCCTTAAGACCTTCTACACCTGCACTGTGGAAAGCATCCTGACGGGCAGCATCACCACCTGGTACGGGAACTGTACTGTTCGTGAGAGGAAATCTCTGCAGAGGGTGGTGCGGACAGCACAGTCCATCACCGGGGTTCAGCTCCCTAACCTATTGGATTTATACACCAGTCGCTGCCTGAGGAAATCCAGAAGGATTATGAAGGACCCCTCCCATCCTAGCCACTGTCTGTTCTCTCAGCTGCCGAGTGGTAGGAGGCTCAGAAGCTTAAAAGCCAGAACCAGTCGGCTCAAAGACAGCTTCTTCCCCCATGCAACCAGGCTATTGAACAGCCAGTAATCACTGCTCTGCCCAGCCCAACCCCTCCCATTACACGTACATGCACCCACTGTACTCCCGCACTTTACTTGCATAGTTGGACTTTGAATACCTATCCAAAGACAATACTCTCCCCCTGCGCTTGCACTTAACTTCCTGTACCTTGCACTTTACTAAATACTCTGCCACCTACTGTACCATCTTCTACCTCCACACCTAGTGTGATTATTTGCACATCTACATAGCATTGTAATATCCATTACTATATATAGTATATAGTTGATTACACTCACTCTACATTCCCAGTGCAATATTATATGTCTCGGTGCAATATTATTATTTTTAAGTTATTGTGTAAGATTATATGTATATATTTTAGTTAAATTGGTTTTATCTATTCTTCTATCCTATCTATAGTTTTGTTTATCTATGTGTAAATACTGTTCTCTGCATAATTTGTGGAACTCGCACTCAAGTTTTTCACTCACCTGTGTCCCTGTACTCTTGTGATGTGACAATAAATCTGATTTGATTTGATTTGATTTGATTTTGATTTGATTTGATTTGAAATTTCCTGAAACCAATAAAACACAGGCTCAATAGGTATCACACAGACACAGAAAACCTTGAAGTCAACATATTGCAAATATGTACCTAGGAAATAAAATCACTGAATGCAATATTACAGCCAGTGAAAAATTCACAAAATAGCTATCAAATCATTAAATAATCAAGGGATAACATATATATATATATATTATTATATATATTATTATATATATAAATATTAACACCTTCCCATAAAAAGTTTCAAATTCAAATAATCCTTCTTGGGAAAATGTACAGTCAAATTATCTTAAAAAGTGGGTTTTCAGTGCTGAACCTACATTTAGCAAGATCTGTGGGACCAGAACCAAATAACTTCTAGATATACATTCAGCAACAACTGTTTACATGAATACATGCTGTAAATTATGCTTATGGTTTCTTGGAATGATAAATACAAATTTCAACTCAATCCAGTGAAAAGTGAGACTTACAGTGCACATACAAAGAATCGCAAAAATTAAGAAAAGGGCCAAAATTCAAAAATTCATGACTAAAAAATTACTTGTAGTAGAGCTGAGTAGAGCAAGGTCCCATGGATTTAATAGAGGTTTTCAGATGTGCCACAAGGCTGTGTGCTCAGCCCTCTTCAAGACAATCCATGACATGAACTTGTAGGGGTAAGTGTGTTGGTATGGAATGACCCATGTCTCACCATGTCTGCAAAGTGGTTCATGCCGAGTCTGTAGCTTTTGATGCCCTGGTCAGCCAGCATGTTGTGCTCCAGGACCAGTTTACGATTGTCCAGCCATTTCATCTTACGCTGAGACTCTTCTTCCACTGAACCATAACTCTTACCTGAGAGGAAACATACACACATACACTTACTTTATTCCAGTACATGCAAATTTTGAACACTCTGGTGAATTTATATTTTGTTGATTTTCTAGGTGAAACTAAAACATCATATCCTTTACAGAGAACACACTTCTGCACAATTTCTGTTTATTTGCTGAAATTGAAAAAAGGACATAAAATGTTACCTATGCAAAAGTTCTGGTACATAACTATACATACTATACATAACTATATATATATATATATATATACACTGATCAGGCATAACATTATGACCTCCTTGTTTCTACGCTGATTGTCCATTTTATCAGCTCCACTTACTATATAGGTGCACTTTGTAGTTCTACAATTACAGACTGTAATCCATCTGTTTCTCTGCATACTTTGTTAGCCCCCTTTTACCCTGTTCTTCAGTGGTCAGGACCCCCATGGACCCTCACAGAGCAGGTACTATTTGGGTGGTGGATCATTGTCAGCACTGCTGTAACACTGATGTGGTGGTGGTGTGTTAGCGTGTGTTGCGCTGTTCTGAGTGGATCAGACACAGCAGTGCTGCTGGAGTTTACTACAAAGTAAAGTAAGTGGAGCTGATTAAATGGACAATGAGCGTAGGAACAAGGAGGTGGTCATAACGTTATGCCTGATCGTGTGTGTGTGTGTGTGTGTATATATATATATATATATATATATATATGACAAACAATGGTACAAACTTTGGAGAAAGACTTTCCCCTCTATAGCTATACTTAGCTTTCCCACCTATTTTGAGGTGCCGTTCTTAGTTACAGTTTTTAAACTCTTCGGGTATCTGCTGTTTTCCAAGTGAAAGCTTTATAGTGTCCTGTCTCAACTCTGGTTAGTGTGTCCGGCCCTCTCTGGTTCAGTTTCAATCACAATATATATTGTAAGCAAACGTTCAAACACTCTCAGTCAAATGACTCCGTTCTATTGATTCTAAGTGAATATAAGTTAACACATCTACAGAGAACACACTTAAACATCACATTTTTTCTGCCAATTTTAGTGCATAACATCTATTTATTTGCTGAATTTAAAATATTGAGAACAAATAAAACACATCAGCTGTAAATTGTTCTCACTTTCAGCTCAGAATTTCTTGTACAGAAACAGATTTGATATGTTTTCTCACCAAACTTAAGTTTCCAGGCATGGAACTCCAGATCCTCCAGAGAGACACTTGCTGCACCAGCCACAACCACAAGAGTGGCGATAGCAAGCAAAACCCTCATTCTGCAGAGAGTCCAAGTTAGATAGAATAAACCAAATTATATGAATTCAATTTAAATTAATTACATTTACAGTACATTTCTTCAGGTTAATTGAAATTGTAACGCTTTCGTATTTGACACAGTGGATGTTGTCACAGTAAAGACATTGAGTGTTTATGTAAGAGAATGTAGGCCAAGTCCTTCTTCATAATATTTCTGAGGCAGAGGACTCACTTATTTTTAACATCTTTATTAAGATATTAACCTCATTTTTCCACAAAAAGTTATTTTTGTTTGGTGGAAAGTCTCATGTTTTGTTAACAGTTAATGATTTCAGTGATTGGTTGGTTGGTAAAAAGCCATCCACCCAGAACCTGAGTTAATTTTAAGATACATTAATGGACCATGCCAGATTACAGATTACATTAAAAAAGCAAAGAGTTTAACTTAAACTTTTCATTTTATTTGAGTGCATTTTGGAAGTAAAGAATGGTGAAGTCTTGTGTTCCAGCACAATCACTGTCTATTCATCTCAGAACTATTGAGTTACACTGCAGAGTGAACCATTTAGTTCCATGCTATCACTGCAAGCAACATAACTCAGCAGCATCTTCTTAATTATATCTGTTACCTGCTTCATTTTTTTAGAGAGTTTACTTTAAATTTTACTTTTTTTTTAGCATCAGTGTTTTGGTGAGAAAGATAGGCAGGGACAAATACTTCAAAAGGTGCCATAGAATTCCATTTGAAATATTGAATAAGGAGAGTACGGTGCATGTAACAAACATACTGTGAACATATTAATCCTCACCCTGGCCCTAATACTAACTGTAACCTTGAACTCAAACCAAAACCTAATCCTAACCCTCACCCTGGCCCTAATCCTAAAACTAACCTTAACAAATGCCTAATCCAGTGAAGCTTCAGTTACAGAATGGTGTTAGTGTGTCTATAACAGCTTGTTGAGGATGTTGACGGTCTGTGTTAAACATCTCCAGTTCCTCTCAGTTTAAACATCTACAGATCTGAACTTGGACTCCAAACAAAGCGAAAAACAGCTGAATTCAGCAGATTATAAACAAATTTTATTTATGCAGTTAATTAAAAGTCTCTTGATAATCTGCTGAATGTATTCACCGCAGCTACATCTTTGATTGGTTGTTGATGTTACTGAGAGTCCGCTGACCGTTTATTTCATCAAAAAAGGACATTTAAAATAAAGTGTCACCAATCTTGCTACTATAATATTACAGTATCATTGTCCATGTTGTGTAAAGTGCTACCAGTACTTTACATACATTAGGGTAATTTTAGAAACATGTCTACCAATGTGTGTTTCTGCTCTTACCTGTGTGTGATGTTCTGCAGCTCTGAAGCTCTGTGTGTGTGTATGATGAAGTCAGTGTGTCTACCCTGACCGCTGTTTTTTATTCTGACTTCTACCACAGTGATGCTGACCTCTGTGGTAAAGATGCCAGTAAACACACTCTGCTCACCACAACCAGCTCACCACAAACAGCAAGCACTCATATCTAAATCATTTTCTAAATTGAGAAAACAATGGCTGCTAAACCCGTACAAAAGTGTCCTGCCTTTTAGTCTATGGGTGATATGATATGAGTCTTTTTAATATGTAAAGGGCAAGCACAAATATTATGTGCGGACACATTTAAAGTGCACACAAATAAACTGCAGATATAATCCGAAACATCAAGGAGCCCTAATTGAAATGTAGTTAAAGGTTTTGGTTAGCTAGCATAGTTGCTATACAAACTACAGATCTACCAAACATTTCAGATTGTTTTTCCTCTTTCTTTTAAACTCTGTATTTACTCCATGTAACACTTCAGTTCTTTCCTTCAGACTGAAGGTTTTTCCATATTGAAAGGCTCGTTATGTTGAACTTGGCAGGTATACTAGGTAGGTATGACTAGGTATGAACATAAAATCAGAGGCTTGGCCGCTACATCAGGTTGATTTGCCCAGGATGTTTCCGCAAAACATCTTTGGCAGGATCCCAGCTCCTCTACTCAGGTCTGTAACCCTCCCAGTCGACCAGGTACTGGGGAACCCCTCCTCTCCTCTATGAAGCCAGCAACCTGCACACAGCACAGATCAGGGAGCCCTTGACCTCAAATGGAGGGGGCGGTCGAAACCTGACTTCAGAAAGGAGACTTGGAAAGACTCACAAACTCGATACTGACATGGTAATTCAAGCTGATATACAACTCACTGACATGTTTAATGATTTTGAATGGACCAATGTAATTAGGCAAAAGTTTCTTACTCCCCTCCAAGAACCTGAAGTCCCTGGTCGACAGCCAGACCCAATCTCCTGAGGACTAGACAGGGGTGTCCTTAAAGTGATGATCAGCCTGACGTTTCTGGTGACGAAGGACTCCACTGATGAGTTTGCTCCCAGACTTGTACACTACATCTTATCTGATCGTTGGCTGCAGGAACATCTGAAGGGGCAGCAGTCCAGGGTGACAAACAAGGCTGGTAACCATAAATACACTGAAAGAACATGAGCCCTGCAGATGAACTGATTAGAGAGTTTTGTGCAATTTCAGCCCAAGGTAAGTAATGTGACTGTTCCTATTGGTTCTTGTGACTGTACAGTATGCTATAAATATTCCTAATTCTTGATTTACTCTCTCACACTGTCCATTGGATTGTGAGTGATAATCTGATGTTAAACTGACTGACACTCCAAGTCTCTCAAAAAAAGGCAGACTAAACTTGAGGTGAACCATGGACCAGGGTCCAATACAATGTCCTCTGGGATGCCAAAAAGATTAAACACATGCTGAAAAGTGCTTCAGCTGTTTGAAAAGCAGCTTTTCAAGGGTTTAGCATTACCCTTGAGAAGAACTGTTAATGGAGCGACACTACTGCTATAACCACAAATGTATCTACAGAAAATTAGCAAAACTACAAACGCTGTAAACATTGGCCAATTCAAAACTGCTTCCACCTTGGAGTCATCCATGGTTACTCCCTCTGAGCTGATTGTATACCCTAGAAAAGAAGTGGACTGTAAATGGTGTTCACATTTCTCGTGCTTAACATACAAAGTGTTCTTTAACAATCTGTCTAGGACCTGATTGATATGTGTAGGGAGATCCAAAGAGTAAGCTATGACAAATTTACCAAATTTAACATGTTTCTAAGAACATCATTAATGAATGCCTGGAAGACAGAAGGAGCATTTGAAAGGCATTTGAAAGGCTAAGTACTCATAGTACCCCATAGTGGTGATAAAGGCAGTTTTCCATTCATCACCCTCTTTGATTCTAACAAGGTTGTAAGCACTATGCATGTTTAATTTTGTGAAAATGGTGGTACCCTTTAAGCTGTACCAAAGTAACTGGGACTAGTGGCAAAATACAAGGGTAACTTAATAAAGTCCTCTGTAGACAATACATGATCTAAGTCCTCCGTCCTTCTTCTTCACAAAAAATAAACCAGCAGTGGGTGAAGTATAAGGACAGATGAACCGTTTAGCTAAGGCCTCCTAAATGTACTCCTCCATAGTCCTCTCCTCCTCTTGAGCGAGTGAGCTTGATAATCCCCTCTCCTACTGGATCTCCTTTAACGCTGACAAACAAAGAGATGCTTGAAGGGGGTCAGTGCCTGAGGTCTATGCGGATGTGTCTGACAGTCACATAAAACATGACCAGCAATGCCACAGTACATGCATAGTCCTCTATGTAACCTCCAAAGTCGCTCCACCTGTGAAACATGGGTCGAGTTGCATTGCATAGGCTCTCTCTGGGCTGAGTCCCTGCTGGAGACACTGACAGGTAAGACTTGTGTGGTGGAAGTTCCTCGCTAATGAGCAGCTGATGTCTGACATGGAGTGTGATCTTGGTAGATTAAAGGTCTAGACGAATAGCCAAGGCGATTCACCAGTATTCAAATTTTGTAACCGAGTAGTGATCTCCTTCAGGTTGTTGGCTATCGAGGTCAACTGTCTTTGCTGTTTTTCATCTCTGCTGTTGTGTGAGGATACCCACAGATTGTGTAATAGACTTAAACTGATGATGTTGACCTAACATACAACCCTGGTTACTTACTGCTAACATGATCTCCTTGATATCTGCTGACTGCAAGCCGGCAAAGCATTCTGTAGCATTGGGTGGATGAATTAGACACTCTAAGATAAAAGATAAACCATAGGATTAATTAAAAGGACAATTAACCAAAATGACAGGGTTAACACCAGACCAGGTCAGAAATCAGATCAACACAACACAATATATGGGCGAAGGCGATAACCAAATCAGATAAACAAGCAAGGGTTGAAACCAAAGAGCAAATACACAGGTAGACTTAGCCAAAGGGACAAATCTGAGAATCAACAACGAAAACAGAACAAGGTCATAAATAGAATAGCTAGCAATCAAGAGAACAGTTCAGTATGCACTGATGGAACAGAGGCAATACTTCACAAAGAAAGAATGCAAACAGACAGGCTTGTATACACAAGTAAACAGGTGTTGATAATCAATACTCAAGTGACTGAGATATGCTAGTTGGAGTATGATTGGTTAGTGGATTCCCATGACAAACTGAGGGATTCTGGGAAGTGAAGTCTGCAATGGAATGAGAGTCTGCCTGAGAACTGGGAAGTGTGACAATTACATAACACCTTCAAAACTCAACCAAATTTCAATCAAGTTAGAAATCGAAGCTATATGTGATTCTGTTAATCCACACAGAATTTTTTCTTCCATTACAAACAACATTAACAAATTTCCCCCTGTTATTAATAGACTTCATTTTTTTCCTTGTGTTCTGATATGAGACCAATAGTGGTCCTTACCAATCTCAATCAGTCTAGCTATGAAGTGGCTAGTACTACTGTCAGACCTAAATTGTGAGCTTATGTTAAACTTATCAAAACCTCACTCACTAACATAAACTTTTATAATGAGCTCAATCTAAACTGTAACGTCAGTCAGCAGATTGATCATGCTACCCTGAATCTATGTTCAAACAAAATAAAATGCCTGTATTTTATAACAGACTCAAGTTATATTTGAAGAACCCCATCTTGAGAATCAAAGATAGGAAAGAAAGCAAAAGAAATCAAAATAGAAACTTGACACCATCGTCCTGCATTGGACATGCAGTCATAAAACCAATAAAGGCACCCTCCACATTGCACAGAACCCAGTGCAGCAGCCTTAAACAACGTAAGACTAAACTCTCAATCATGGCTAAAGTTATTAATAGCTGGTTTATGATGATTCACAGTAGTTTTAACCTACAAGCTATTGTCCTGCTCATGTGCGATTGGCTATACAAACGCTCCCACAGCAGCTATCGTTATTTTAATTGCCCTACCTCTGTGGGAATGACAGAAAACTGAGTTGGTTTTTGGGTAAGCTTTAAGAGTTTACCCACCACATTGAGGAAGATGGCCCCACCCACTGACTTGGACTGAGTTTCTAAACTCACTTTACTCTCTGAATCTTCTTATTTTGCATTTTTCTTTTTATTAGCATGGTTCAGCAACTCATCTCTCTCTCTTTCAAGCAATTCCACTTTTGCTTGCAGGACACTGATAGATTTTAATTATGCTTCACACATTGGATTACAACATTAAGTCTCCATCCTAAACCTCCACTGCATCCTAAATTTTCACCAGACACTGTGTCCCTTAAGAATAACTGGAATAGCTATTGACCTCTGACCTTTGGTCTAGACTCAGATGGTGTCTAGGTGTGACTGGTGGATAGATTTCCTGTAACCAACCTCCAGCTCATTATGATTCACTTTCACAATAATGAAATTGAGTTTCAAACTCAAATTCAACATGTCTCACCACTCATGCACCTTGTATATTAATTATTTAGATTTTTTAAATCAAATTTGTGATTGTGACCCACATTTGTGGGTAAATGTCTCACCAATCAGGTACATGGTACATGAATTATATAACTTCCAGTCACACTGGAGACAGCAGCAGCTGGACTGCCTCTCCCATGTGCTGCATTAATTGTGTATTTTGTATATTTCACACAGTGTTTGTTAAGAATGTGCAAGTCAAATATTGTCTTTGACCAGCAAACATTACTAAACATTGGAATAGTGTAAGTACTTAACAATCAACCATTTCTTGACCTAATGCTGCCCATTGTTAACCTAGAGGCCCGAAGTTGACCACAGCCTCGACAGGAAGACATCCAGGGTAGGTGAGTGGTTGTCTGGGCTAGGCTAGCAAAGCTAACTATGAAACAACTCCCAAGCTTACTACTTGCAAATGTCCGATTACTCGAATGAGATGAACTGAGATTCGGGCTCATGAAAGATCGCCAAACCAGCAGCTGTTGTGTTCTTATTTTTCCTAAAATCATAGCAGCCTGATTTGAACCAGAT